TCGTCTACACCAACTTAAGAATTCTTTTTCCCACTTTGGCGTGCAGCTATGGAATGCCTTACCTGACAGTATTAAAAAATCTGCCCATAGAAATTTATTTAAAAAACAAATACATGAAATACTTATTAATATCTTCAAACAACAGAACTTGTATCTTACACCATCTTCAATTCCTGAAATAATTAAAAATTTGTAAACCTCATCAATCCTCTAGCTACGACCAGTATAGCGAAGTCTCTTTCTCTTTCCTGTTATTATTATTATTATTATTAATTTACTATTTTAATTTTAATTTACTATTTATTGTAATCTGAACTGCTGCCAATTCGAAATCTTTGTAAGTACCTAGTGATAAGCCGAACTTAATTATACCTATCTGCCTCGACTGGTTTTCAACTAGTTGTGGGTAGGCACTTCTCAAATTGTAATTGTAAAATTGTAAATTGTAAATCAGGAATCAAAATTGTTGTAAATCAATAAATTGTTGTTGTAAATCAATAAATCATGATGTTGCCGAATAACCTGTTGACCTGAAAAGACTGGCCAAACCTAAGTTAGGTTGCAAAAATTCACTGTGATATTAAATTTGTTAGCACACTAAACATCCCAAAAATGTTACTAGTCATGACAAACAAACAAACAACAAAAATGTTACCAGTCATGACAAACCAACAAACAAACAAACAACACTGTATGTATAGAACAGCTTTGTTACAATTAGTGTTCTGAACTCTATCGGAACTTTTTGTACTGACCCTCCTGCAACATCGTTAGAATTAAAATATTGTTATTACTAGTGCCTTTTATTAATGTCATTCTCCTGTTTACATTTTTTTCACAGACTCTTCTTCCCTTGAGTATCATCCTCAAAATTAATGTATCAGCTGTGTTTAAGAATTAACAAACTAATGGTTAATTATATCATTTTGATTCAATCATTTTAGTCAAGGCATCTGCAATAAAACTTAGAGAACAATCATGTAAACCAAGACCAGTGGTGGTTGGTGACCAGACAGGAGGAAACAGACCATATAATATATTATTGCACCGCTGCTCAGGAACTTGTGATGACACTGAACCAGAACGTAAACCCTGTACAGCATTAATCACAGAAGAAATTGACCTCATAGTGAAAGATCCCTCAAATGGAGCAGAAAAGACCATCCAGGTCCATAATCACACCAGTTGTGGTTGTGACTGTGGTGACCTTGACTGTGATTTCCACAAAGGCGAGCTTCTAGATGCAGATAAATGTATGTGCACACCTAATGCACAGCCATCTGGGAATAAACCTGAAACAGGTAAGTACTGGCTGTATAAGATATTGACATAATGAATAGATTGACTTTGTCCCTTAAATTGAGAATCTCTGCTGACAAGAATCAGTCATGCAAAATTGCAGAGTGCAGAGTGTAGACTGTACAGACCATGCAGACCTTGCAGACCATGCAGACAGGGGAATTGTATGTTACTTACTAATTAACCCCTCTGAAACTGATTTAGAGTTCAGGAATGGGCTGTGTGGATGATGCAAATAATTTCTATCTGTGGTCCACAAAAATGGTTTCCAAATTATGTTTTTAGCAGATATCTTATCAGTACTCCAGAAATATGTGAGCAAAGACGAAAATGTCAAGGACACCCTGTCAAAACCATATGCACACTGTACTCTTGCAACTGAATCTCACATTTTTTGAAAGGATGTTGATGTTAAATTGAGACTTAGATACATAAATTTTATGGAAGCTCCTCTAAATATGGCTTTTCAGAGGCAATGATAATTTAAAAATATACATAATCATAGGTGTTATGGACTGAAGTCTGCGTTTAAGCATCACCGGACAAAAACCTTTAATTATTAGACATAAGGATAATTATGGTCCCAGTCACTATGTGTCTAATATTTATTTTTAAAATTATTATCAACAGATAATATTGTGCCATACAAGATTGGATTGGGTGTGATGGGTTTAGTGGCACTTTGTGGTTTTGTTTTTGGAATGATGGTTTGCATTAAGAGAAAAAAACATCCCGAAGAAATTTAAGCAACCCTGCTGTAAGCAGAAGGAATATCCAGGTCAGTAGTCAAGGCAACAAACATCAAACAACAACATGTATTCAGAACACAAAATATACACAAGTTAAAGAAAAACAAATTCTCTATCACTTTCATGAAGAATATAAATACCTGTGTGTCAGTTAGTGTTATACATTTGTGGCTCTAATACACAGTTATGAAGAGTATCTAGGTTCATAAGCAGCTTTGCCATTTGTGGAGTTTCTGATACAGTACACGACTGTGTATCAAATGCAAAATTAGCAGTGAGGGAGGAAATGAAGACACATCTCTGTTATTGGACATTCCCCTCAACAGTCACATGAATTTGGTTCTTGCCAATTGACTTTTGAGTAACAACTCAGTAATGATTTGTGTTAATTTCTTTTACACAGTGGGAGAACAAACATCAGGAGATGAACCAGTATGAAGACAGATTTTAATTATATAATACACAATATATCACTGTAGAGGAGTTAATGTTATGATTACTGGCAAACTTCATCGTTAGCAGTTTTAGGGATATTTAAGTGTCTGTAAAGGTTAATCACCCATGGCCAGATATCAGCATTATTGTTTAGTTTATGTACATATATTGTTTATAGATGGTTTTAACTGCAGCCTAAGGCTGAATAGGTCAGTGAATCAAGACAGATGCATTCTTAGAGGTACTGTAGTTGAGAATGATAACTGGAAGAATAGCTGTGTTAGGTCCACCTAATTGATTAAAACTGACAAGTCTGACACCATACCTCAAGTCTTGGGTATGAAGAATGAAAACTTTGATCTCGTCTGACAACCAATTTTTCATAGTCAAGAGGAGTAATAGCAACTTCGACTGAGACATTTGGGAAAAGTGCATTCTTGAAGTTACACTTTCTGATATAGAAAGAAAGAATTCCATAACTTTGGTTGCAGTAAGTGTAGTACATAATTACAAGTTAAACAACATTTGTTTTTATCGTTAGAAAGATCTGTCCTCTCTAACAGGGAGACATCATAGGGCCTATGGTTCATGGTACAACAGGATTGATAATGTATCGTCAAATCAATATTTAAAAAATCCTTAATGGACTTAAGGTTGTTCAAAAGAACATTTTAAAATGGAGAAATAATTTTTTCATTGAATAGCATTGAATTAAATTGTATCGTGAAATTTGTAGGCATTAATTGAGAATGCAGACTGAATTATTTGAACATTTGCCACGAAAAGGTTCTTGTTTAGTCCATTTTACAGTCGTGTACTTGGTGCCAAGCCTTTCAACAGGAGTGAGGCTTAGGGTGACCTCGTTACGATACAAATGTTACTGCCTTTCAAATGTAAATTACTTTGTTATCATACGAACTAGATAATGGTCTCTATCACAAAAAGGTCTCCTTCGGCATCACTCAAAATCAAAGGCTTGGCAATTAAGTACACAACTGTAGAACGTCTTATTAATAATAATTTATGCATTGCTTCAGTTAATTCTGAAACATGTTAGCTATTAGGTCAAATACAATTTGAGCTGTTGTATTCCATGTAGTTCATTTGAGATTAATTGCAAAAAAAAATCATTTTGTTTTGAAGTCTGGAAATGTTAGAATATGCAAATTTGCAATTTGTTGATTTCTAAATATAGATTTTGTTATCCTTCTTGGCTCTGTACTGTGCTAAATCACAGGTTCCAATTCCTTAATTAACTTAATGATATTGTACTTTCCAGTACACTTGTGAAATAAAAAGTGTGAATTACATCAATTGTTTGACACATAAATTTCTTAACAAGAACTAAGCAGGTCTTACAACAAACTAATATTTTAAGTTGGTCATTTAACTGGCTGCATGCAAGACTGTGCAAAATATAACACAAATTTTCATACTAACACAATGCCTGGAGGTGTCAACTTGGGATCTGTTGGTCATTATCTAAAATCACTCTGGTTTTACGCAGAAAATAGGAAATCTAATGCTGACTCTTCAAAGATGAGGAATGAAATCAAGAAGTAAACACAAGAAATAAGTTCCCCATCCAGGAAGAAATAAGATACACACTTGCATGGTTAACATTTCCATATCTGACTATAATGACAATCAATTGAATTTTAACATGGTCTGCCATAGGCATCCCACCAAATGAAATGTTTTCAGCTTGATGTGTTTCACATATTTTCAGATAAAAAGGGCTCCACAGGATCTCGAATTCTCACCACATTCAAACATTCACAAAAATATGCATATCCTTACAGTCATAAGCAAAGACATTTTAGAATGGTAAACTTGAACTACATTCATTGGGTTAATGTTGAACGAAGTACATCCCTTTTTGTAGCCAATCTACAGAACTAAAATTTCATGTGTTTGCCTCATCTTCACAATTTTTTTGAAAAAGGGCCTGTCAGTTTAAGTTATGACAAAAGAAACAAGTTGTCCATGAGTTTGAAAAGTTATTTATTTAGCGCTAGAGCAACTAATAAAAATGTCCTCTTTTAATTAGATGTTTAAAAAATGAATTATTGCACAAATAGCTCCTAAATAAAAGGGGAATTCACATGTCTGCCCATCCAACATGGCATTGAAACAAAAAAAACTAATGACAGTCCCAAGTTGTACGGACAGCATGACTAGAAACCAAATTGCATCCAGCCATCTCTATGAAGACTCCCCAAGAATAGACAACAACAGTAATGAACAAAAAATTCTAACATTTACTGGTCTGATAAATAAAATGTTATTGTTTTTACTATTCACATTTCCTCTTGTTTCACTTTAAATCTGTACAGTCTCCCAGAGAACAAAATACAATTAATAGTAAGGGGGAATAATTTATGAACAAAATACAAGGTAAAAGTAATTATGCATTCTATCCAAAAAAAAAATGAAAATGTTCTCAATCCCCACCAAAAAAGTTTTGAGAAAAATAGAATTTAAAAAAATTCTTTTTAATGATACTGTTCATATAATCTGAAACTTCTTGAGTAATATTACTGCAGACACTTGACAAAGTTGACTCTGATAAGCATGAAACAAACACTTGTTCATACAATATTAGTCTCCAATTCCAAAGCATTCAGACAGTGCAGAGTCTAACAAAATAAGATGTGACATTTGACACAAAAAAACAAGTTAATTTTTTGTTATGCAAATACAAAATGAACGCAGCAGATTGGTGATAAAATAATTTTAAAACTGGTAACAAGACTTAAATTCACTGGAGGCAAGATTTTGAGATAAAAAAAAACATTGGAAAATGTCAAGAGCAATAATTTATGATACTCATAATTCTTATAGTTTCCTACTTTTAAACCTTCAATTCAATGCTTTGCAAGAATTCTTCTTTCCTTTTTAGATTAGTAGTCGATTCCAGAAATAAACAAGAAATATCAGTACCTTCAAAAAAAAACCTCAGCTTCAGCTTCACTTTACAAACTAACTACAAGTAGTAACTACCGTAATCTCAGCAAGTTCCATTCAAATGCAGTTAAAGAGTTTTGAGCCTGACCTGAAAGCTACATGAATTAACTTTCTGCAAGAGATAGCTGAATAACTTGAGCCAGCTGTTCCTCTTCCTGTTTTCGAAGCCGTTCGTCTTCCTCCAGCTGCTGTTCAGAAAGTGCCATTGCTAGCTGCAAGTCTTCATCATAGGCAATGGTTCCATCTCCAGGTTGTCTTTGAACAGGAACAACCTGTGGGGTTTGTCCCTCGTCAACACCACCTTCTCTCATGCTTTCTCTTATAGCACTGTTTGAAAAATATTGTCTAAAATCACATAAAAATCTCACTTTGCACTCACAAGCTTGGGAAGATAATTAACTGAGAGTTCCATGTCACTCCTAATACCTCTGTGTCAGGAACACATAGTAGATAAGTATTATAAGTATAATTACTCAGGTGATTATAGAAATTCTTATGCTCTTATTAGCCAAGAATGGCATCATATTCTGCTATGATTACCTCCTGCGAGGTGATTATAGTTTCAAAATGGCCACCTCGTGCTTTGTCGATGTGTTTGAAGAGGAAATTAATTTAATGAAAGAAAATGCCATTCCGAGGAATACCATACACGCCACAAAGTTTGGAATGACACTCTTCAAAGGTACACGTGGTAAGGTGTGAAAATTGTGCTAAACTTAACAAAGAAACCATTTAAATTCCTATGAAAATTTTGCTTATGTCGACATGCATGAATAAATCAAAACAACTACATTAAATTTTTGCAACACTTTATTTACTTAACAGAATGGTTTAAACAACAAACTGAATTTACCACTCACTTTGAGGCAATGGAGGTCAACGAGATGAATAAATGTTTGTCAAAATTTTACGTCTCAGTCAGAGGAAAGACAGGACTTTTTACAAGAGAAATAGTCTGTTATCCATGCGTGCGGCTCTCACTTAGTTGTTCACTGATGCGGGACAATTACAAATAAAATTTAACATTCCTTTGCTCATTTCTATAATCACCTGAGTAATTATACTAAAACAATTATTTGCCTCAGGCTCGTGAATATTTACCAATATTCACTTCACCTTCAGCGAATAATTGTTAAATAGTGTCATCGTGAGGGAAAGGACAAAACAGTTCACACAATATTTGGTGATGCTACAATTGTTATTCTAGTAAAGTAACTAAGGTGAAAGTATTTTCCAGTCACCTCAAGAATACAAATGTATTAAATATAACAGAACCCTGAAGAAGTAGGAGAGGCTTTGCTAAATGGTTGCATAGAACATGGTGAACAAGCACCATTTTTAGTAGATGTAAAGTGCAATAAATACCGTTGCAAGTCATCATCTTCCTGTTGCCGGCTGTCTTGTAAAGCCTGAAGAGTCATAATCTGTGAAGGGTCCTGTTGATATTCAAGCAAGCTCTGTTGTATGACTAGTTGCAGCATCTCATCTTCTTCATCTCTGAGAGGAGCTTATAGACCATCAAGAAAGATACAGCTTGGTCAGTTTTTGATTTCTTACTGACAATGATAAAACAGTAAGTCCCTAAGCTTCCAATGTTCTCAACAATTTCATTTTCAGTTGCCATTTTTGAGAGACAATAGATTTCACATTACCAATAGAAGATGCTTTCTTTGTGTATTTTAATTTTCAGTATGTCATATCAATTATTGCAAGGTTGGCCAACGACTAGTGATCATTCTTCTTTCCATTGTCATGATATGTGGATCAAGATGTCAGTATAGCTAAAGTGAAGTTGATATACCTATTTTCTAGAGCTAAATTATTCTTGGCATTATGAATGCTTTCCCAGACAATACATGATACCAGAGGAGTAGATCCTTCTGTTTGTGAAACCTTCGGAGAAAGTGGGCCCATGCAAAGTACAAATAGCTGCACGAGGTGACCACAGTAAGCTATGGTCATGTTGAACTGGCCAAACAAAGTTTTAGAGGATTAGGTCTTACTTCTGAACAGTCAAGGTAAATATACATTTCATTCATTGCTACAGACCAGCTGATTGGTCCCTAGCCATGAAACTTTAAGAGGTGAAAGTAAGAAGAGCAATCAAAATATTAATTACCACATTTAATTTGGTTATTCATTAGCACAGATGTATGAAAGCATGCATATCAACAGACTCTTTTGTCTGACAATATCTATTGACCAGCTGTTATTTTCCAGCCCTGCAAAATGCACGTTTTCATTCTTCCAACTAAAATGTTACTCACCAACTGGTTGATCCAGATTAACCTCTCTGTAGTCTGCTGGGGCATCAAAACAAGTTGATTCTATGACACACCTTGCAGCCAGCCCAGGCACTAAGGGGTCTTCCTCCCCTTCAGTAGAGTTGAGGCTATCTTCTCCAGTTTCTTGCATATCAGCTCTGATTGCATGCACTCCTTCCACTGCACATTCTCCTCCCCCAATATTACCAAATGTTATTTTGGCATTGAGGACATGGAACAAAGGAATTTCTGAAAAGAACCAAAACTTTACTGTCTGTAACTGCCAACGAAGTCTGGTTTCAACACGCAAACTCTTAAAAATTTATTTACATTATGGTTGTTCATGGTTGCTATAGGGAACAAAATAATTACAAGTTATTACAAAATACAAGTAGAAGGAATAGAAAAATGCAAACAACAGAGGAAATGCAATCAGACTGAGAAAGACACTCAAAAATGTTGTATGACTTGTGAACATGAAGGACAGAAAACTTAGAGTTGAATGCAGTAAAGAAATGATGTTAACTTAAAAATTAATGGACTCTGATACTCCAAATGTTCAATTTTACCCATAAACTTATACAAATCAAATTAAACAAAGCAAAATTATACGGAAAACCTAACAGAATATAAATCACCGTGAGTGAAAAGAATGCAAAAACAATAAGAAAAATGTGCATGCAAAAGACAAAAAAATGTAATAGGGACTGTAAAAAAAAAGAAATTGCAAAATGGGAATGTTGCAGTAACACTGTCTCTTTCAGTAACATCAATTGACTGACTCTGCTCTTGGTGACTGACACTTAATCCTTTTGATTATTGATTAAAAACCAGAAACACCTCAAAGTCTTATTACCGGTACATAGAAGGCTCTTATGTACCATTAACCTGAGTTAAAATTGTATGTTCTAGAACCCACGTTACCTATTTTGACTGGGAATCCTGCTGGTAGATGGAGTGCAATGAAGTCTCTAAGCTTGGCAAAATGAGTGTTGCTGATAGCCTACACCAAGATGTATTAATCCACAATAATTTTGGTCAACATTAAATTTACCTAACAATTCAAGCATAAGGATATTACTGGGAAACTGAAGAATTGTAGGGAGAAACAGAAGACATTGAAAAAGTCTTGATGATTTTAGATTGTGTTTTGTCTCATGCTGAGACCAACCCCTGACAAGGGGCTGAAAAGACTCTGGGCTTGCAATTGGGCAATCAGCACCACAGTGTACCAGTCTAAGTGGCCTATGAGCGCTGCAAGAGTGAACTCACCAGTCACCTTGTGTTACCAAAAATCACTAAAAATAAGGTTTGTAGATTCCCTCTAGGATTTTTGCATTTTTGTTTTTGTGTTATTGTATCTGCAACATTTTTTTCCCTTTTACTATAAGAACTGACTTTTATGGAAAGGAAAATTGTACATACAACCAACCAAGTTCAAGGGCACATCAGTGAACTTGTTTAGAAATAAAGGAAATTCATGCAGGTTCCCCAAATCTGTTTATGTGCAGCGTCAATTAATTTAAGTATTGTGAAAAAATTAGGGTGGCCCTGAACTGTATTATTTCAGAGGGTAAAGGTAACTGAGCAAATGCATATATAGACACCACTTATGTTTAAAACATTGCATGTTGTAAATATAAAACTTTAAGTTAATAAAAGAGATTTCTAGACCAGGCTGCAATATATTTGGAAAGTCATTTGTTGTTCTTGATATCAAAAGTAGGGAGTCCATAGACTCACCAGCAATTTGACAATTGGAAGCACTTGTTCACGAAGGGACAAGGGGTGCTTGTCACACATTGAAATTGTAGCTTTAAACTTCTGCTTCTTTACTGTCATTTCTTTCAACTTTCCAATATCTGGAAATGTAAAAAAATGTATATTATGACTGCACAAAGGAATCCAAATTTTTTGCATCCCATTGGGTAATACACTGAAAATAAAATTACAGTGTAGGCTGAACTACAGCAACCAATTTTGGTTCAACTCAGCAAGTGTTTGAAGAAAATGAACATGTGAAAGGTACATTCAAGAGACTTGGTCCCTTCAGGTGACGAATCAAGGCAAGGACCATATAATGACACAAGTTTGCTATTCTACTTGGACTGGGTAAAGGATGAAAGCACCTATTTTTGTATGGTAATGCTGAAGTTAGTAATGTACAAGGCAATTACAGTTGCTAGTGGGCTAGCTTAATTATAGTGGTGTGACAGTGAAACCCAGGGGTAAAAAATGTTGTAACTACCCTTGTTTTTAAGGGTTTCTAAGATGAGGGGCAAATAGCTTGTAAAATATAAAGACTAAAAGATTCATCCTCTTTTCAAATAAATTAAATCAATGTGGCAGGAAAAGTAAATTCCAAGGGGTCCTGGGAAAGTCTGCACTAAAGCAATATTATTATCTTCAAGAATTCCTCCTGAATTTCCCGTTTCTATTTTTGACAACTACGTTCACACCACATAACATATGTGTAGTATCTTTGTCACCACCACAATAATGAAGCTCTTGACTGTTAATACCAAAATCAAAGGACCTTTCGTATTTGCTCATTATACAACAAGGTGGTTTAATCAACAATCAATAATAAAATACAGAAATGATCAAACCTACAAATTGTGGGTCAGAAATTGTTAATGTCGATCTTTATTCTGATCATGATGGTGATTAATCTGCTTACAAAAGCTGATCAGTTACCATATTCATTATGCTTGAAAGTCTCACCCTTTGTATTTAATTCTGGATTAGGATTAAAGTACTCCTCTAAACTCATTTTGTAAGGGTTAGAAGAAGTAGGATCTAGGTCTGAACCATCTTGGTCATCCTGTTGGGAAATAAACAAGAACAAGTATGCAGCAGAATGAAAAGTGCCAAAATGAGTCTTTCCCTCAATTCACCTTGAACAATACTGGATAAATGAGTCTAGTTTGGGGAGGGGGGGAAGGAAGGGGAAGCACACTATCTAATAGAGCTATTGGAGAATTTACATCTCTAGGGCTGGGTTGTTTAAAGCTAGGTTAAGATAACATAATAAGATAGTGGGAAAACTGATTTCAGATCTGGAAACTTTAACAGAAAATTAGTAAATATATTCTTGCCTACATTCTCATGATTGAGAGGAAATTATTGCAATAAAGGCTTTCAAACAAAGGAATAAAGAAACCAAGATTAAAATTTAACCCTGGGTAAGTGCTAATTCAAGCCTTTGTACAACTTGGCCCAGGTCCTTGTCAAGTATGCTTAACACATCCCCATTTAAAAATGTACTTCACCATTTTAAAATGTACTTGACATTTTAGGAATCTTAGTTCCTGAATGAACCAATCAGATCTCAAATACATTTTTAATGAGATCTTTGGGAAATAAGTTACTGTGTCAACCAATCAGACATGGGTTTGTAATATGAACCTTACTCTTCAGGAACTAAGTTCCTCAAATAACCAATGACATGAAAGAATATATGCCATGTCATTGCTAAATTAAGATTTGTCTGTTTTATTTAAGTCAACACCAGATAAAACAGATAACAATAGATGGGACATTCTGCTAAAGTGCAGTAATGTTTCACATCAAACTGGATGCTATCTTTAGTAAAATATATATTCTTCTTTGAGGCTTTACCATTTTTATTTAGCCCTCGACGTGTACAAGCTTTTTGTAAAGCTTTGTCACAGTTGTAATTTTACAGTAAAAATTAGTTCCATTCATTGTCTTTCACGTACCATAGAAATGTTTTGAATACACTGTGGTTAACACAGCGATGGAAACGCGCCTGATTGCATAAAATTCTACAGAAATCGTTGACAGAAAATGCCACCAACAGTTTTGCCGCGCTTTTTATCTGCGCCGAAAGCCGAATATCAAGAAAGCGATCAAATGACCCCTATCTTTTCTAATGACTGTCAAGTCATCTTAAGTTAACGTGCAAATGATCGCGACCCCGTGATAAAATTTCTCAACCTCATTATGTAAACGACACGTTCTCACAAAGCGAGAAGATTTTACGAGCTTTCATGTCACGAATGTGATAATGGCA